ATTTATAAACCCTAAAGGACCTCAGACCATTGCCCAACTAATTTATCAATGAGAAATTTAGCGCCAATTTTTCCTTCAAAAATTAATATTAATAAATTAATTAAAAACCTTGTATGCGGCTTTAATTAATAATATACGCTTGTTAATGTATCCCAAAATGGGATTTGCATGTACAGCCCTTTTTGGTCCTCGACTTTGACAAATGGACCCCACGCTTGCCTATGATCCTTGTCCCATTGAAGCCGCATGAGATGACCCGTTACGGCCAACAGGTGCCAGATTAGAAGATTGGGCTAATTTCTTAACAGAATATAATAAATTAAGATTCAAATTTTTATTGAAAAAGGTTTTCATATTTCTTACCTAATAATATCTTAAATAAGATTGTTTTTAAGAAAATAATGTGTACGTAGATGGAAAAGAAAGACCTGTCATACGAGGTGTAGATCTTGTTCTTTCTTATTTTTGGAATTTAATATAATATTAATCTTATTGTACATTGTTTAATTTGGACAAATTAGTCTAATGCCTCGTTTGTTTTACAGAAAAGAGAATTTTAGAGGGTGATGTTAATATAAGATTTATGTAATATATACTATTTCCAATCCTTAATATAAGACATAGTTGACTCATTTGAGTATATTAAGAAAATTAGTTAATTTAGTTGTTAGTAATAAATATGTGTTATTTTTTCTAAAATATTCTTACTAATCAAGTACAATGACTAGAATTACTATTATTACAAAGATTATCTTTAAAAAAAATAGATAAACACTAGAGACAAAGTAGCTAGATTTGAGTATTATATTTAGGATCAAAATAAAAGTCAAACGAGCTTTTATATTAAAAACCAGAGATAGTATATGTTCTTTGTTTAATCACTTTTAAAGCTAGAATTTCGTTTATATATAAAAAAAATCTTTAGCCATATGAAAATTGAAATAATTGACAAATTTAGGAAAGCTTCTAATAAATATCTAAAATGCTTATTTTCATTTATTTTGTGAGGTACTTGTAATTTGTCAATTATGATTATTAATTTTTTCTAAAAAAAAATAAGGGAGTTTAAAGATATTTGGGGTTGTAAAAAAAAATTTTTTTGCCAATAGCCTTGTAATTTAATGATATAAAAATCCCTAGTATGTTTGCTTAAAGTTTTAAAAATAATCTTGTGCAAGATGGTTATCAAAATTGATTTGAGAAAGCGTATAATAGATTAAGATGGTATTTTGTTAAATGATGTCTGCCTATTAAGCTCACCAAGGTTATCAATGGCTGCATTTCCTCACAACAAATAGTTTCTCACCCTCTGGTGACCTTAGATATAGGGAGACCCCTTATCTCCCTACCTCTTTGTTATATGCAAGGAGAAACTAGCACACATTATTCAGATGAAGGTGTCTTCTAGCAGATGGGAGCCTATTAAATTAAAAATAGACCACCTATCTCTCACTTATTTTTTGCTAATGAAATTGTTGATTTTCCCAAAACAAACATGGAACAAGTTGAGGCTATCAAGAAGTGCTTCGGGCCAGAAAGTGAGAACAGGAAAAAGAGTTACAGCAAGTTACAGCAAACCAGAAGCAAAGATGGATCAGATACAATTCGGTGGGAATCGAAAAAGAGCGGAAATTTTTCCATCAAATCAGCGTATAGAATGGTGAACGTACGGTAATGCCAATGGTTGTTCCGAGTTCAATTGGATGGCGATCTGGAAATCAAAAATCCCTCAGCTCCGCAAAACCTTTGCTTGGCTGTTGATGGCAACACGATCAGCTAGTTACAATTGAACCTCAATGCAAAAGGGAACTACATGAAGATGGTGTCTGTACCTTTTGTGCTGATGTGATTGAGGACGAGCTGCATATGCTTAGGGACACTATCGGTGGGCAAAATCAATATGGTCAAGTATTAGAAGCCTGCATATTACTATGTCTAGTCCTACATATAAATGCTATTTAGGTATTTAATTTAGTTCTAAATATAATATTTCAATCTACTTTATCTCTCGTTATTATCTATGTTATCCCAAGTAATCTCTATAGTGATTGCAAGAATTGTTTCAATACATATAATTAATAAGGATATTTTAGAAAAAAAAGATATTTGTTTATTACAAAATAACTAAAATAATCTTACCCAAAAAAATATAACTAAAATAATTCTCTCATAAATCTAGTTCTTATATCAAGGACTGGAGATAGTATGAGCTTTTTCATGACTCTATTTGGAGGACTGGAAAGGTGTCTTCATTATTACCTGCTGGCTAATCTGGAGAGAGCAAAACGAAAGGCTTCACTTTGGGAAAAACTCCCACCCAAGTACTATTCTAGCGAAGATTGTATGAAGAAGACGGCAAACAAACTCAGGCTGTGTGACTTGACAGTGGAAATCCAACAAGAAAACCCAAAGGTCCCATTTAATACGGAACATTGAAAATAAAAAATAGAGATTAGAATTATAATTTTAAAAAAATCATTAAAATAATATTTAGTATGAGTAATTGCTTATTATATGAGATTAGGTAAACCCATAGAGGTGGAATTAGAGAATACCACTTCTCTCATGGTATTTCCCAATTCCACATACATGAGTTTGACTAATTTTTTTTTCCTGCGAAAATGATGGTTTATTACTTTTATTAATATCAACTAAGTGGTGCCCATAAGTAATTAGAAACTATACAAAAATTAGGATTTACATTTTTATATAGTATTTGGACAAAATAAGTTATAGTATTAAACTATTAATTAATAATTATAAAATATCATTTATTTCCGACAATTTTTTAAAAGGATTTATTTATTCATTATTAATAAATTAAATCGTAAAGAATTTAAACTCTACACGTGTAACCAATTTTTCAAAGCAAATTAAAAACAGGCAAACTGTAACCCAAAAAATAATTAAAAAACAGCGAGTTAAATTACGAGGGAGTTTGGCGTATTTAAAGACACTTAAAAAATAATTTCATGTAAGTAAAGATAAAATTTCTCTCACATGTAAAATTACTCCTACCCTCGTATGATTTGTAAGAGAAAAATAAAAACTGAGATATGGGCAAAGAAAAACTGATAACTTTGAGTTTTGGATTTATATAGGCTATCACAATTTTGCAAGCCCTTCTACATTTTAAGGAATATCTATTGCATCTATATATATCTAACAAAAGGAAGCCAAGATAACGCAGGAACATTCTCCTTCGGTTCTTTTATATATATATATATATATATAAAGAAGTAGATAGAAATATTAGGTCTCTATCAGAAGCCTACAGCCTAACCTACTTGAAGTTTAACTTAACTTATTGTTTATAAGAAATAGGGATAGAAACATATCAGGTCTCTATCAGGAGTCTACAGCCTAACCTACTTAAAGTTTAATTTAACTTATTTAGTAAATAAGCTTATATTTAGGCGTATTTTCAGGCCCATTTAGGCAAACAAGCCAAACCTATTTTCATAAGATCTAGCCTGTAAATCTACAAGCCGAGCCTATTTAGTTTTTTCTTTTTAATTTGCACTATTATATATAACATAATCTAAATTAATTTTATAAATTATTTATAAAATTACTAACTCTGGCTTGAATTTCACATCACAACATTTATGCATAAGATCAACTCATTCATTCACACGTCATTCACTTACATCTCTTTTTTATTACTCAATGCTAGCTTGCCTCCTCTCCTTGATATGCGTTGTTCACTGGAGCATAACAATTGTTATAACTTTATTTTAGTGATTAGAGTTTATGCACGAAAACCAGAAGAAATAAAATTCAATTTTACATTCCACCTATTGTATCTAGTTGATTTTAGAAATATATCTTGTTATTCAACAGATGATTGATTTTTCTTACTCGTACTTACTTAGACAACTATTATCACCATGTATTATGTTTCTAAATAGGTTTAATAGATTATATATGAAGTTAAAAACATATACTTTTAAGCATATATGAAGGCATACATCTCGAATATCCCTTTAAAAGGCCTCAAGCTTTTTGAAGGCTCAAATTTAGACCTAAAAAAAGAAGTCGACGTACAAGGTTATGCTTTAGATATCTATTGTAGCTTTAAGCTTACTTAACAAAAGCCTAACCTAACCAATTTTCGCCCATAATAAGAAACAACTAACCAAATTATGTTGATCCAAAAGTGAAAAAAAAATATAATTTATTTTCTCAAAACATCTTTATTTATGAAAACTGTAAGTAAAAAAAAAAGAACAAGTGGAAAAAGAAAATGGGAGAGAATGAGTGAGGGAAAAAAACAGAGACAGACATGTAATTAATTAAAAGTAAAAAAAATAATGTCTTTTTAAAGAAATGTTTCTTATACGGAGAAAGTAAAAATTCACACATCAATCTTGCAGGGATCGAAATAGTTCCGATAGAACTTGATGGCCTCCAAACATCCACTAAGACAGCAAACCCAGACAAGTTTAATTGTTCCAAACAAAACTCTTGTCAATAGAATTATTGTCAAGGAATCTGTCGGGCAATTGTAAAATCATGACTTTACCATATCTGATCAAGACTCAGTACTTTTTTTTGAGAAAAAAACAAATCCTTCAAAGTTCTAACCCGGTGAACTTGCAAACATCCTCTTAATAAATAATTGTCTGGCTGTAGACTAATAAACAAAAGCTCGTAAAAAATAAAAAGTTAAATAACATCTAGCATGTTGAAATATTTTCTTGGATGCATCCAACACCATACAGTATTTTGTGGTGTACTCAGCATCCTAAAATAACTTTTTAAGTGCGTCCAGAACCATGAAGTGTTTTTTTTGTGTATTCAGCATCTCAAAGTATTTTTTTTCAAATGCGTCCAGCATGCAAAAGTGGTTTTTGGGGTATCCAATACTAGGGCCAAAAAAATACGTCATACCTAAAACATACTATGAAAATACTTTGAGATGCTAGTTGCACCTTGACCTTCAAATAATTTCTTGCAAGGCTACATTGAAAAGAAACTGCTTGCCACATGCATCCCAATGAGAAACAGAATCCCTTCCAAACAGTTAGCAGGGGATCCAGATTTTATCAAAGCAAACTCGTATAAGATGCCACATACTGTTACAAATTCCAGCAACTGAAATTCAAAACAGATTTGAACCTCACAAAATCGTAACTACAATCTACCCTGTGATAAGAGATCAGCATATTTCAAAGAGACAACACAACTGGACAAATTCCTCAAGGGATCACAGGCTTGTTATCAAAGGCTTCTCTTGCTTCCACTAAGTCAGGACGATATCTCTTGGAAAGAATTTCTACTTGCTCAGAAAATGACTTGTTCCCATGCTCCCCAATATGCTGGACCATTTGATTCCATCGTTTTCTACATACATCACCAGACCTATGCTCAAGCAAATAATCCCACTCCACCTCCTCCATGCAGCAGGCATCCAATGTATATAAAGCATTGAGCAGGCGATAGTCATCAGTATCAGCCCATTCACCTTCAGCGACAAGAGGAGATGTTAATTTTTCATACCACTTCATACAGCAAAGTTGACTGGTTCTAGTTGCCACCTTATCACCAATTGCCTCCCAGCATATATTATCCCGTAGCATACCATGTTTTTGTTTTCTTTTGTCCTCTAAAGCCCTCAGACATAGATCAGCATTTACTAAATCAAATAATTTTTGATACTCCTCTTGTGACCAATTTCCTCTATTGATATTTCCCAATTTTATCCTACGCCATGCATCCTTTACATGAAACCGATGTTTCCCCATTGCGTCAGCCAACATTTTCCAGTTAGATCCATGCTTTTTATGGAAATTTCGTACGATTTCTAACTCTTCAGGAGTCCATTTACGAGAGTCATCCCTTTCAAACAAAATATGACCACGATGATATACGCTTTCTAGAGGCCGGTGAGGTAAAGCTGATGCAATTTCCTTCCAACAACCTCTAATCTTAGGATAAGATGAGCAATGGAGAATCATGTCCACCCCTTGATCACGATCACCCAACCCATGAGAATATATATAGTTGTAAATAGCCTCTATAATCTTCTCATCTTCCTCTGGTGTAAACCTTTTCCCTTGTACTAAGTGATCATTGAAAACCTCCACTTGTTCAGAAAACTTAACTCGCTTATCTTTCTTGCTTTTCTTCTTCTTTTTCATTTTTTTCTTCTTCTTGCCTTGATCGTCACCTTTGGTAAAACTAGCATGTTCAGCAGCATCCCCCACATTGTGTTTTGCTACATCGGGATCACCTTCATCGCTTTCAGCTAAAGCTTGATCAGAAAACTTAACCCGTTTATCTTCCTTGCTCTTCTTATTCTTTTTCATTTTCTTCTTCTTCTCATCTTGATCACCACCTTTGATAAAACTAGCATGTTCAACGGCATCCCCCATATTGTGTTTTGCCAAATTGGGATCACCTTCATCACTTTCAGCTAAAGCTTGATCAGAAAACTTAACTTTATCTTCCTTGCTCTTCTTCTTTTTCATTTTCTTCTTCTTCTTCTCGCCTTGATCATCACCTTTGGTAAAACTGGCATGCTCAACAGCATCCCCCATATTGCTTTTCTCTAAATTGGGATCACCTTCATCACTTTCAGCTAAAGCTTGATCACCACCATTGCTTTTGAATTCATCATCTTCTGTTCTTTTGCTTTTGCTGGTTAGTTTCTTCTTCTCCTTTAACTTCTTCTTAATCTTCTTCCCTTGATCATCATTGTTCATGACAACAGAATCTGTATTAGCATCTATCGTCTTGGCTCCGGCTAAAGATGATCCAGCTTCATTGCTTTTCAACCCAATAGCCTCTGTTCCATTGTTTTCACCTCTCAATTTCAAAGCAAAAACTTGCATTTCAGGGATGGAATCATTGCAATGTTTTCTTTTCTTTGTTTTCCTTTCTTGCTTGTCATCTAAGAACTGCATTTCATTATCACGATCAATGATACCATTGATTATTTCATCATTATCTTTTCCCTCCTTCCGTTTCTTCCTGTTACTTTTACTGTTCTCTTCTGTAATTCTCATAAATGTGGCATCCCCTGCACTTGAACAATTTCGTCCCCTACCAGCTATACCTGCACAATTTTCCTCAACAACTTTGATCAAATTCAACACTTCATCAGTTCTGCATTTGCTCTTTTCATCCTTATGCTTCTGCTTATTTTCTATATCCGTTTCCACCTTAAGAATATGTCCCAGATCCTCTTCATCATTTGCTTGCACATCCATAGAGACCTTGCTCCTGTTAAACTTGGATCTTTTCTTTCCAACTCTCTCATCCATTGGATTGGTATTATTAATGAACCTAATAGATGTTACAACACAATGGGAGGCTGAAAACACCAAGAAAAATTGGAGCTAAAGTAAGTTACAGTATCAACAAAGGAGATTATAGCTACAGGTTAGCCACTTAAACTCAAATTCCAGCCTCATGAATTATGATTGTCACAAGATATGCAGTCATGGATCAAACAGATAAAAGATTTTGGACGGGGAATTGACTAGTCCAATGGATTAGGAAATCAAACGAGAAACTCGCCCAAGCAAAACATGCCGTCCACACAAGACAGAGTAAAAGAAAAGGGAAAAATACAATTTCTTAGCAATTTAGTACTGAAATTGCTTAGGACAGCATGACAAAGAAGAAACCACGGCGTTAGTGAGAGTCAGGTTCTTTGATCACGATAATGAAATGCAGTTATTTACTCACCCGGTAATCCCAACAGCTACACTCTAGACTATTCAATAGCCTTCAAACATGATTCAACCTTAATCCCCCAACATACAAATAACATCACTGTCATTTAAATTGTAATCTTGTAGAAATTTATAATATATATATATATATAAAAACCCCTTTTTCCATAACTTAAACCCCACGCAACAATGTTGAATTTCATGAATCACTCAATACAGTAGTACTTATACCTCACATACCTATACAAATATATGCATGTATAATTATATAGCCATCCAAAATTCTATGTTCACAAGAAGTTTAGAAACAAGAAAGAATTTCTTTTGCTTACATATGCATGTAAAAGATATGCCCGGAGTTTAATTCAGAATGCATAAAACCACAACACACACACATAAGCATCATAGGTAATCTTCCAAGTCTCAAAATGGAAACTCCTTGCCTCTAATACCATCTACAAACTCATCCCATCACACCATCAATTCCTTTTTCCTACCGAAATTAACGAACAGCTCAAACGTAACATTTAAAATCACTTAAACAACTCCCACAACCTCAATTCATTGGTCCAATACTTCAGCACCACATACCATTCAGATATAAAAACCATTTAAAATTAATATCACCCACCAACAGAAACGAAAAGGACACAAAAACAGCCATACAAACAACTTTTAAACAAAATAATATGCAAAACTCAAAGCATTCAACAGCAACCCAGGCATCTAGCAACCCACGAACAATATGGTAATCATAAAACTCGAGGAGAGAGGAGCCTAGGCATACCCACACTCACACGCCCTCAGTAGCACAGAGAAGGAGGAAGACTTCGCACGATCAGCAAAACCCAAGCTTCAATCACACACCACAACCTCAGCAAGCGAAGAAGGATCAACCTTGAATCGCTAACTTCCCAAATATATAGATGAAGGAAGAAGAGACTAGAACAGCGGACAGGGAAGGAGAAAAAGACAGCAACTCGAAACCTTGAGGGAAACGAAAGAAAGAAGGAAGGCGGACGGACGGACGACACACGACCACCCGCGACGGCAGCCTGGACGTTGAAGAACGATGAGGAGAGCAATGAAGTAGGGTTTCAAGCTTCAGAGGTTCCCAACGTCTCGACGCTCTCCTCGCTCCTCCCTTTCGCGGAATTACCTGAAGCCGAGGTTTTTTTTTTTTTTTTAGGTGGTGTTTGAAAAAGTGAAAAAATGATTTTCAAAGGCTTTCTGTTTCTGTATATTTATTCCATAATCCATATAATGTAAAAGTATTTTTAAAATTAGTTAAAAATATTTTTGATCCTTTAACTTATATAAGGTTTTATTTCAGTCTTTAAATTTAGAAAGTATATTTTTAGTTCTTTAATTTTAACACCGTTTAACTCTCTTAACGGAAAATGCTAAGTAAGCAAATTTAATTACTGAATGTGTATTGTTGACAAAGCATATGTAAAATTTTAATTTTTTTCTGCCACAAAAATTTTAATTTTTTTAATTTAATATTTTACATTAAAAAATTAAAATAAACCTGTGTAGTGAAATGCTTCCTCTTCTTCTCTTTCAACTATGGCCTCTCTACCTCTCCAACCCACATCTGCTATCACTGCACTAAAGGGACGGACCCTATTCTTTAATATTTCCTTCACCTAGAGCAGCTAACTAGAGAATATTGTTGATTTGGTTTGGTTTTTTCATCGACTGGGCAAATCTGAAGTAGCAAGCAGAATGATGAACCACCAACAAAACCAAAGTGGAAAGAGGTGAGTGAGCCCACAAAACCAGAACGACAAAGCACTGAAACTGAAAGATTTTTTGGGGTACTCCGATAGCCAAAGGGAGACACAAAATTCGTTGCTGCGCCGTTAACCGGCAAGGAGGCAGCGACTCTTAACAACTTTGGCGATGTAAGTAATCACTGGGTTTCAGGTAAAATGAGGGGGGAAACTCGTAATGCAAATTGTATTGCATTAAGGATGAATGCAAAAAAAATTCACTTGTACTGTAACATATTGGGGAGGGGGGAAGAGATTCACCAGTTTGTAGAGGAATAGAGTTGTTGATTTTGTAAAAAATATCTGCACAGAGAGAGAGAGATGATAGGGTTGTCAACGTTGAAAATTTAGATGAATGAAAGTTTTGATGTTGATGACGGTTTCTTTGAGTTTTTAATTATTTTTCAATTTACATATCTTTTAAATTAAAGATTAATATGTCATTATTTAATTGTTGAGTTAGCACTTAAATTTGCTGAGTTGGCATTTTCCGTTAGCAATATTAACAGTGTTAAAGACTTTAAAGTTAAAGGACCAAAAATGCAGTTTTTAAACTTAAAGGACTAAAGTGAAACCTCATGTAAAACACTTTAAAATGCAGTTTTTAAACTTAGAGTTAGCAACATTATTCAAAGGCTTTCTGTTTCTGTATATTTATTCCATATAATGTAAAAGTATTTTTAAAATTATAGCTTTGTTTTCACCAAATACCATCTTAATCTAATTATAATCCACTTATAGATATTATGTTGCTAATAGCTGTTCTCTTTTTTTCCTCGGTTTCTGTTTGGCAAGCTTTTTGATCGGATCTTTAATTTAAATACTATCTTAAAAAAATTCATAATTTATTTGAGAAAGATTTGAACGTTTTAATAATTTTAATTTCTAAGATTTGATAAGTTTTATAGTATAAATCCTCTTATGCATTTTTTTTAATAATGGCATTTTAGTAATTTCATACGCTTCTTGGATAAAGGTAAAAAAAGAGAGGAATAGTTGGAGAAGTAAGTTTTTCTAGCTTTTATTTTTTCAGCAAAAAGCTTTTCCGGGGAAAAGAAAAGTCAGGGAGTATAAAAAGTTAGAGAGAAAATAGAAACACTATTGCATAGTGTAAGATTCATCCCATTTTCTTTTTTACTTTTTTTTTCCACATATTCAGGAAAAAACTTATTTTCTTTTGTAACATTCAGGAAAAAACTAACATTTTTTTCCAAATTATCTGATTTTAAAATATAATAATAGGAACGCCCCCTAGAGCTTGGTTCAAGATGTTACATTAGGATGAATTATCTTAATACAAGCTTTTATATAGCCTCTCATTCCACTCCATTTAAGATTATCTACGGCAGAGATGTTCCCTCTTTTATTCCATTTAACATGGGTGGTACAAAGATTGAGGAATTAGAAGATTATTTAGTAGAAAGGGATGCTGTTTTATCGACCACAAAGGATGATCCCACTATTGCACAAGCAAGGACAGAGCACATTGATGCCCTCCATCTTTCATTTTTCTAACATATTTTTAGTATTTATTAGCAATATTGAATAATGTACAATTTATTTATTTTCTTTTATTATATCTAATTTTAAAAAATTATTCACTTTTTTATTTTTATTTTTTTCCACCTTGAAAGCTAACATTTTTTTTAAAATTAAACACCTCAAAATTTGGGTCAAGATAATGAGTTGGAATGAATTATCTTATAACACAATTTTTCATACAACTTCTGGTTTCATTTCATTTAAAAATATATATGGCAGAGATACTACCTCTCTTATTCTATTTAACAAAGATGGTATGTGGATTGACGAATTAGAAGATTATTTTGCAGAATGGATGTTGTTTTGTCTGTTATAAAGGATAATCTCACAATTTCACAAGCAAGGATGAAGAACTAGGCTAATATTAAGAGGAGAGAAGTTGAATTTTCATCTGGAAATATGTATTTTCTGCACTTGCAGCTTCATAAACAAAACTCAATTTCAAATCACAAGTATGATAAGTCTTCTCCTTGCTTCTTTGGGCCTTATCTAGTTTTGCGACACATGGGTGTTGTGCATATAAATTGCAATTTCCTCAAAGGGTAGGAATTCATCCTATTTTTCATGTTTCTTTGCCTGAACTTGCTCACCACTATGATTCACACTCATCACTGCCCCCTCTTCCTATTAATGATTCTTAGGAGCTTATGGAGCTTGAACAAGGTGAAGACTTTCGTTATGTAACAAGGGATGGAAAACTTGATGTGGATTTGCTTATCAAGTGGAAAAATCAACCATATAAGGAAACCAATTAGGAATCTTAATATCTTATGATGTTATTGCTGCATAATTCCCTTCCTTCGACCTTGAGGACAAAGCTATTCTCCAAGAGGGGGTATTGTCAAAGAACACCCTCTACTAGTCTATTATTGGAGAAAGAGAAATAAAGAGAATTGGTTTTGTGATAGATATATAAGTGTTTATTGTATGTTATGATTTTTGTTTGTCTTGTATTTGGTGGCTATATTCAATTATTGTATTAGTGTGATTTTTTATATAACTCTTATGCATGTATTTTATCAAACATGAATGACTGCGCTATTTAGATATTACTCTTGTATTTTTCTTAGAATTTAAAATTTTGATCCTAAGTACTAGAATGACACCTCACCCAAAAAAAGGGTGAATTGGGTTATAATTAAAATGTTATATTTAAACTTAAATTGAGACGGATTAAACAAATAAAGAATTAGAAAGATTTCACTAATAGAGAGAAGAAAGAATATAACACAAGCAAGTTACACTAGTTTGGTCTACTAATTGACCTACGTCCAGTCCTCAGAACATTTATAAATGTGTCACTATAACCTTCAAGATTAAACAAGTTCTTGATGCCTCAGTACAACAAGTAGCTTGACACTCGTTCTCCCTTACTACTAGTAACATTACACCCAACTCAAGATTCCTATTTATCTTGAGTCTTACAAGGGATTGAGTAATAAATGTTTTGTAACTTTCTCGGGGAGTAGAACAAATGCACACTGAAGTTTGAAAGCTTGGAATAAATGAACAATGAATGCAAGTAATGAATTTGACAGAATGTTAGTTTGGAATCATTGTTCACTTCAATGAATGCAACTCCCATTTATAGTTGATTTTGGTATCTATCCATTACATAAAGGGCTTGCTTCTGTTGAAGTTGGATTAATGTAGATGGTCGAGTAAATAGATAAACAAAAACAGAATAAGAGTACTTTATTAGGTTATCAAGTAAATCTATTAAGAAAATAAATATTAACAAATAAAAGATTTTACTCAGAGAGATATTTTCAAAAACAAATGAGGGTTACTCAGGTGAGTAGTCGAGTAAAGTGATTCAATCACTAACGCCACACTTACTCAGTAACTTCTTCGAGTAAACCTTAAAAGAAATCTTTTTTACTAGAAAGTTCCTAATTTGAAAATCATTTTTGATTTGAAAAACCTTTTTTCATAATCAAAACATTAATGCCAACACTCACTTTTCTCTTATCCTCTCCTTCTACTCTTCTATTACTCTATTTCTCTATTTTTCTCCATACTCTCATTCTAAATACTACATAATCTATCATCGTTGTTGTCTATTTCGATTGGATTCATGTATCTATGATGCTTGCAAATAACTAAATAAGTTCAAAGGTTGGAAAAAAAAGAGTTTGGTCAACTTTTAAGCTCTAATATATTAAAATGAGTTCAAATCTATGACGTGACCTGAGCTTTATCAATTTAGTAATTTCATTATCTGTTTTTTTTTTCATGGGGAGTTGTGTATGGGGGAGAAGATTTAACCAACCATTTCAATATATAATATTGATAAGAAGGAATTCTAAGAGTATAAAAAATTAACTAAGATGAGAAGATAATTCTTTAAAATTCTTATAGTCAAAACACATTGGAAAGGGATTTAAATTTTAATATCATGAATAAAAGATCACAAGTCGACACTTAAACTCAGTGTCTTGTCAACTACACATACTTTTGACAAACCATAAACTCATTGTCAAATTCAGGCATAGATAAATAAACATATTATAGCAAAATGATAGGCCCAACAACAATAAAAAAATGAAAAATAATAAAATATGGATGCCTAGGAATTGGGAAAGAAGCATTATACTTACAGTAAATAGAATGTCTTTGGCAAGTCCATTTTCATACAATAGTAGTCTAACCTTAGCATCTATCTAGGACTATCTTCCTCCTTGAATTAGCAATGAATTAAGACATTAAAATAGTAGTTAGAGAATAGCCTAAAAATATTATGAGAAAAATAAAACGTAAAGTAAGAAAAGTCAATGAACAATGACGATATCAATTGACGATATTTCAAGAAGGAAAGCAAACTAAAAGGAGGATGAGTAGGAGTTAT